GCGGTTTTAGTTGTCATTTTCGCAACTTTAATGCCCGTGTGTTCACCTCTTACATCTTCCGTGCAGCCCTGAGAGACCCTGGGTCTGCCAGGGGCCGCGGAAAGGGCCGCTTGTTTGTATGCACACGCCAGGCGCCAGAAGCCTCCTGTGGGTCAGGCCGCCCTCTCGGTTGGCTGCAGGCCGTCGGATTGCGGCTGCCACCGACGTGTGTCTGGCTGGCCGGGTCTCCCCAAGACACGCTCAGTGGCCAGTCTCTCCGAATGAAGTAGTATGAATAAGAACCACGGCCACATTTCGTTTCACCCGCGCGACGCTTAGTCGTAACGTCGACACGTGCTCGCTTTAGGACTGGGACCTACCAACGCGTCCTGTGAGCAGTCGTGACTGTGGCCTGTTGAGTCTGTTTTAACTTAGGACCTGTCCCTGTGCGGGACAGCAGAGGGTGGCTGTGCCGCAGGAGAGGAGCGGGCCTCTGACTGGGCCCGGCCTGGCCTTGCGTTGACCCGTGGACTTTAGAAGACGCACAGGAGACTCGAGGGTGCCCGCAGGGAAGGCCGCCCCGCCCGGCCCTCGGCAGCCTGTGCGTTGTGCACGCGGGAGCCTTCCAGAGCTCTCAGCGGTGGGTGGCTGTCCCGGAGCACAGGTGACCTTGCGTGTCTCTAAGCCCGACGCGCCACGGTTCTTTCTGTAAGCCAAAGCGTGAGGACGTTCGCAGTGATCCCTTCGTGGATTTTTTCCTGCGTGCGCAGTGGCACGGTCTCCTGCAGACAGGGTGTTCCTGTGAGCCAGCAGATGCCATCGAGAAACCTTGGCTTGATTTTGTACTTCCAGTTCTTCAGATCTGTCGCCGCGTGCTCGCGCGCGGGAAGTAACGTCCCTGAGCTCTCTTCTTGTCCCGTAGGGGCAGGTGCCCGGCGCCGCTCTTCCCAACCCTCTGAGCATGCTGGGGCCCCAGGCCGGCCAGCTGCCTTGCCCGCCTGTGACGCAGTCGCCGCTGCACCCGACGCC